TCTCTCTCTCTCTCTCTCTCTTACACACACGCACAAACACACACGCACACACACTCACCAACACTTAAACACATACTTTAATAATATGCATATTACATACAATATAATAATATGTTGTTGTTTTTTCCCACACGAACACTTGTTTGTTTACACTCCATCCAGTAACAATCGCTTTCATTTAGCGACAAAAATACAACTTTTCAACACGGATTTCTACAAGAAAGGGACAGAAAGAAAAAGACAGGGAGAGACAGAGGGAGCCGCTGCGAAAACAACGCACCATGCTGTTATGATAATATTATAATAAATAATGTTATATATAGCAAATAAATAACAGAATATGATTGCAGCGTATGCCCGTACAAAAACCAAGAGGTCAGAGATAGGTAAACTTCGAACCACTTCTTTGGCCACAGTAAGGCACTTGAAAAATTATTTTAATTGAACACAGAGGAAACGATAACTTTATACATGTATATCTTGTTTGCATACATTATTATTAGCGTGGGGTACATGCTGTTAACCTAATTGAAGATCTGAAAACGAGAATGAGCTGAAGTTTATTTTTGTCGAAAGGAGAAAAACACTTTTAAGATGATTAAACTTCAGGCCTCAATTAGCAATACAAAAAAATAAAAAACAAACGAACTATACATTATTTTTCTCTGGCAGACTGCACCAATGATAAATTACTGTCGCTGTGCTGCACAGTGTTGTGTGTTCTGTTGCTATAGGTACGTGAAAGTCTTTAAAAAAATAAAATAGATACTAACTTTCAATTATTTTGAGACGTCTCCAGATTAATTCAAACACCTATCTTAATGCGCGAGACCGAAGTAAAGACACACAAAAAACCCACCTGTACGCAATTGTATAACCTGTACATCCCAATCTACAAACATATTTATATACTTTGGGAGGCGGGCTGCTTCGACCCTAAGTGCCAAGTCCAACCCAGGCTGAGAGGGATTTAGTATAATGCATCCCAGCAGAAAAAAAACAAAGATATGCCGAAGGTTTGCGGGTGTTCTAGTACGGCTCGCTCCTTCTGTACTATCAAACGTCTATCGTCCTTATCTCCTTGTTTTTGTGTATGTCACTCTCTTCTAACACCTTTACATCTTCAGCACTTTTGATATGATCTAATAGTATTGCCTGTGCCGTAAAACACTTACTAAAACTAAAACAGCAATACTCGGGAATCAAACTCACGTCTCATGTCTACACCACAGACATCCGCGAGGTAAAAGACAACACGAAACATTAATTTATGCCAGTAAAGATATGAATCCCCCTTGATCAAGTAGCCTAGTAACAGTATACTTGAGCCTTCCATTCGGAACTTACTTGACTTATTAAGTACAATGCACATCCGGGGTCTCTGCTCTCACTTATTGTTAATTTGGGTCACTGTGACGTCATTCTCGAAAGGCGCTTCTCACGATGGGAGGTCGAAATGTATTTTTACCCCATAGTGTTTCCTCATTAGAAAGATACAAATTTCCATGGTTGATAGGCGAAAAGTGTGAGACATTGTCAAAAGTTTGGGACCCCCCCTCCCCCCATCCCTTTTCCCCCCTATAAAG